TTCATTGAAGTTAACCCAAAGCATTGCCAACAGTGCCTTTATCATCATCTGCATCTTTGGCTTCCTGGGGAATGGAATGGTCATCCGGCTTCTGGGCTTCCACATTAAGAGGAATCCTTTCACCACCTACATCCTGAACCTCTCCATCGCTGACTTTGGTGTCCTTGCAGCTCTCCTGACTATTATTTTGCCTGTTGTAACTTTCTATGAGAAATCCCATGTTGCTGTTTTGATTAAAAAAGTATTATTTGAACTATTTTTCTTCACGTATTCTGTGGGCCAGTTTCTACTGACCGCCATCAGCATCGACAGGTCTGTGGCTGTCCTCTTCCCACTTTGGCATCGATGCCACCGACCGGCACGTTCATCCACCATTATTTGTGCCTTGATATGGACCCTCTCTTTCCTGCTCTCAGGCATTCACCTTACTCTCCTACTGACTCAGAGCTTTCCAAACTCTAACCTAGTGTACCAGCTTATTGTAAATGCCCTCATTTGCACTCCTCTGATGGTCACCTCCACTCTGATACTGGCCCTCAAAGTCTGCTGCAAATCAGAGCAGAAGCAACGCGGGAAGCTGCTCACCACCATTTTGCTTGCACTTCTTTTCTTCCTCATCTTTGCTTTCCCACTAAATGCCATTTACACTGCCATCTATTTTAATGAGAAGAATATGATTCTAATGGAAGTTGGTTTTGTGTGTGCCTCTCTGAATAGTAGTGTCAACCCGCTGATCTATTTCCTAGTTGGGAGGAGACAGAAAAAGGGCCAGTCCAGGGTCTCCATGAAAGCTGCACTCCAGAGGATTTTCAAGGATGAGGAAGAATCAGCATCCAAAACTGAAAACTCAGTTATGATAGCAACTTAATGCCTTAAGGCACGACTGGCCAATCCTTTATTATCATAAGCACAATAATGTACAGAGGGTAGTCTTTGGTGTGAAAGACTTCTTTTAATGCCTTTCTATCTCATGTCCAACATAGGAAATTTAAACTAGGAGTTTTGTATTGTAACATTTGCTTTGGATATAGCAAGACTGTGGCAATGGGCCTTGGACAGAAGGTCTGCTTGAGCATAGCCTTCTTCACCCCTATATTTTCCGATGGGTTGAGCTAAAGCTACTCTCCCCACCACCTCCCCATGCCATAATGTTGATTGGCATTTCAGGCTTTCAGAAAGTACACAAGTAGACTGGACAAAGCACACAACTCCAAGCTAGACAGCAGTGGGACATGACCACAGTCCCTTGCTCACGCTGACTGCACTGGCTGTGAACCGCCTTGATATCTAAAGGTATAGGGTGGTATACTAATTTAATGCAGAATGAAATAATTATAATAATTGCATGTATCTTATAGTGTTCTTTTTTGTTTCTCTGTTGTTCTTTTTCATTTCTCAATTGCTCACTTGCATTTCATTTATGTATTCTTTTCATTCTTATACCACAGTGTTTTATCTTAATCATTTCTCAGCTGCAATTTAAATAAATCTTTCAATTTTATTGTACTTTGCATCTGACTCCAGTTCTTTCTGAACAGCACACAACAACTCACTATTGAAGGTCACAGTCAATCACGTTTTCACTACATGGGTATACTCATGTGTAGGCAACTTGTTAGCAGCTTCCATCCATTTAGCAGAGTTTCTGGGAAGCAGTAGTCAGCAACTGAAGCTACACTTTGAGAAGAAACACAGACACCATAACACTCAGTCAAGTGAATTATTTCTTGAGTGGTCATAAACACTTCACGGTAGCACTATTTACAGTCGCTATAACAATAGCTGTAATGGCATACTTAAGCTTCAGTCCTTCTTTTAAGCAATGATGGAGGCAGACACAGTCTTTCAGCAGTCATGAAGCAGCAGTTTGGTCAGTCGTCTAGTTCTCCTTTTATTGGCACTTCCAGCTGAAGCTCAGAGTGTCTCTCCCACTTATATACAACTGTTCTGGAATCTTCTCCCTGTTTGTGGATGAATGACTCCCTAACACTCACTGGAGCAAGCTGTTTTCAGGCCACCCTGCCTATCACTAACAGCCTATATGGCAAGATTTGTCAGATCTTACAGTGCATTGGACCTCTGGCTGAACCAGGAGGAGAGCCACGTTGAGCTATGTTGCTGTAGCCTAAAGTCCACCTTTTCCAAATTTGCTACTTCTACCAGGCCTTGGATTAGAATGATGCTGTAAGTATATCGAACCCAGGGCTTCTGAGTGTTAACCACTATCTCCAAAAGTCTATGGAAAAATCTGTTTTTAGGTTATATCTAAGTGACATCAGTGCAGGGAGCAGCAGAATTTCAAGTGGCTAGGCCACTATCATATCACAAAAAACCACAAGTGCCATTATCCAGATTAAAGACCCAGCCAGAGATTTCAGATTGTAATACAGTGGTAACTTAGTTTACAAACACCTCGGGTTACAAACACTTGGGGTTTCAGACTCCACTAACCTGGAAGTAGTACCTCGGGTTAAGAACTTTACCTCAGGATGAGAACAGAAATCACGTGGCGGCAGCACAGTGGCAGCAGTAGGCCCCATTAGCTAAAGTGGTACCTCAGGTTAAGAACAGGTTCAGGTTAAGAACGTTTCAGGTTAAGAATGGATCTCCAGAACGAATTAAGTTCGTAACCAGAGGTACCACTGTATCTACTATTTGTGAGGGGGATAAACCATATTGTTGATTCTGCACTCCGATACACACCGCAAAACACATGCAGTTACAAGACAAGTGCTCTGGACAACACAATGCTAGTTTTTGAAGAGATTTGGTCATGGCAACTATGCATAGAAATCAGCAGATTAACTGGTGAGATACTTCCTGTGGGTGAAAGCTGATTATGAAACATATGTAACAAACTTCATATCAAGGAAACGTCTTGAAAAACACAAGCTCTTGCAGAAACTGAATTTCAGTAAAAAAGGAGAGGGGGGCTTCCTCAAGGGAAAATCTCTCAGCAAAATGAGGAAGAACCTTTGCAAAAGAAAAATCAACAACATCACACCATCTTTAAGACTTGATGTATAAAACTCAAAATATTGCTTAGATGTTTTGCATGAAAGGACTACCCCAACATTTTCTTCGAATGTTCATTTCAGATGAAATTCAATGGAATTCCTACACCTGGACTTGCCACTATGAACACTCCCCTACATGCCTCTGAACATATATCATACATAACAAGTGGCTAATCAATCAAACAAGTTAGCCATAGTCATATTGGCGGCCAGGGGGATTAGAGATGATAGACCACCTCCTATCCCATGGGTTACTTACTGTACTTTGTTATCCATGAGGAAGGAAAGGGTTATAGACAGATGGGGAGGTGGCATGGCCCCAGGCACACAATTTTGAGAGGGTGTGAACCAGGTGCCCCAACACAGGTGCGATCTTCCATGGGGATTCCTGTTCTGCCCAGGCATGTTCTGGCAGGCCCTCTCCCCAGCTTCCTGTCCTTCCCTGCCTGCTGCCGGGGGTCTCCTCACTTGGTGCATTGATGCGGCGAGTGAGGCGAGAAAGGGGCGACCCACAGCAGCACAACCTGGCATCAAGCACAGTAAATATTAAAAGCTAAATTCTTCTTTCTCTAGCACCTACTCCCTGTGTTGATGCTGGAACATTACCAGGATATGTTGCAAAATTAGCTGGTGATTCAGTTTCCTCTTTCGTTTTCCACTTAATTATTTTGCTAACTAGCTTATTATGTGTTAGAGGCTGTTCTAGCTACAACTGTAGCTTGGGTTTCTTGGGGGACCAGTACATTTTATGGGCTATTCCATGATGGATGATTACAAGGTAAGCACTCTTAAACAAAAGCTCCCTTTTAGTTGCTTACATGATGCTGATTTAGGTCCCTGTTTGCTGATACTGTGGCAATTTCTCTCTGCATGTTTTCATGAGTTAGGGTGGGGCTTGACTCTTATAGCAGCTTGTAGAAGAGAAATGGGGAGGTTGGCTGTCCAGTTCAGCCATTTACACTCCCAAACATTCTAAAACGCTAAAACCAAACAAGGTTAAGCAGGGAAGTATTTGAGAATGTGTAAAGAAATATATTTATTCCAGATACATAGAATCATAGAATTGTAGAGTTGGAAGGGACCCCAGAGGTCTTCTGGTCCAACCACCTGCAGTGTAGATTTTCATCCAACCTCTGCTTAAAAACCTCCAAGGTTAACAATAATAATTCATTATTTGTACCCCGCCCAGCTGGCTGGGTTTCCCCAGCCACTCTGGGAGGCTTCCAGCAAAGATTAAAAATACATTAAAATGTCACACATTAAAAAGTTCCCTCAACAGGGCTGCCTTCAGATGTCTTCTAAATGTCAGGTAGTTGTTTATCTCTTTGACATCTGATGGGAGGGCGTTCCAAAGGGAGGGCGCCACTACCTGGTTCCCTGTTACCTCGCTTCTCACAGTGAGGTAACCACCAGAAGGCCCTCGGCGCTGGACCTCAGTGTCCGGACAGAACAATGTGGGTGGAGACACTCCTTCAGGTGTCTTTCTTGTCAGAAAGTTCTTCCTGATAGTTAGTTGGAATCTCCTTTCTTGCAACTTGAATCCATTGGGTCATGGCCTGTCTGTGGAGCAGGAGAAATCAAGTTGGATCCATCATCCATGTAACAGCCCTTTAATATAACAAGGGCGCTGTACTAGATAACCCTTGGGGTCTCATCCAACTCTACAGTTCTATGATTCTGTTCTCCTCTCTCTCTTCTCTCAGTCTCCTCTGCCCCTGGCTAAACATGCCCAACTCCCTCACCTGTTCCTCATAAGGCTTGGTTTCCAGATCCCTGATTATCTTGGTCTCTCTCTCTCTCTCTCTCTCTCACACACACACACACCCTGCACATATTCCAGCTTTTCAACATAATTCTTAAATTGTGGCACCCAGAACTGGACACAGTATTCCAGGTGTGGTTTGACCAAGGCAGAATAGAATGGAACTATCACTTCCCTTGATTAGGAACTATACAGTTTCTAGGCTGTTGATGCAGCCTAGAAAGCAGTTGCTTTTTCCTGCTACACCACATGGCTGACGTGTGAAGCTTTTGGTTTACTGAGACCCCTAGATCCTTTTCAAATGTACTAGTGGAAAGACAGGTTTCACTCATCTTACATATGTGCAACTGGTTTCTCCTACCCAAGTGTAGAACCTGAAACTGGTCCCTATTGAAATTCATTTTGTTTGGGTCCAGTTCTACAATCTGTTAAGGTCATATTGAATGCACCATAAGAGTATCTCATGCACTGTGCTATTATATAATGTTCACCAATGTTACCTCCTTTGATTCAGTACGTATATTTGGTTTGTGAAATTGCAACGCATTTTATTAAAATTAAACTACCTTATATTTGCATTCTTTCTTTTCCTTGACCTCTTTGCTCAATTGCTATAAACAACTAATCTGTTAAATCAAAAGTAGCCTCTGTAACTGGATTCTAATTGTAATTTTATTTTCTCTTACATAAATCTTCTTTTTCAAAAAAAAAAAGGAGACGAATATATCTACACGACTGTGGTAAGTGCACATAAAAAAGTAATATCATGTTCAGTATTAGCACTGTATACATTAACTTCAACACACCTAAGAATGAAGATGTGGTACAGCATATGTGATTAATACAGGACCATAACTTCATCTTATAGTCTGCATATGGGATAGGTGGAGATTTCCATTTTGGGTTCTCTCAGTTTCTCACATTTTGAATTCTCTACATTTCTGCAACAATTTGGATTAAAAAGAAATAACTTCATGTAATATTAAAAAATATGTTAGTGTGACTTTCTTTTTAAAAAAAAATTTAATGTTTGTGCTGTTTTGAAGAATGAACACACTTTAACAAGCATATTGCCACAATACATGCATTTTTTGTAAACACTTTGGTTGGAGAAGTGCATCCAAAAATGTGGGTGAATTTGAATTTCAAAGAAAATGTTGTTTTGCATATTGGCTCAGGAAGTTTAAATTAGATAATGTCTAAGTGAAATGCAAGGAGATTCAAATCCCCTCCCCAATGACTAGTTCTGCAATTATGAAAAGCATCATTGCAACATTAAATCAGATTAACTTGATCATTCAGTTGGATTAACATAATCCAACAATTTTGGTTTGAAGAAAAAATGGTGCTTTCTCTTTATTTGGAAATGTCTTTGAATTTGTAGTTTTCCAGGAAAACCTCTAGGAAAAATATTTTCCCTGTTAGGAGAATCATTTCCTAACTGATAATGTTTGGGTATGATATTACCATGCTTTGAAACTCAAAGTTCCCTTATTCTGTGATAAGATATCAACTTATTTGTTTCAAAAATTGAAAAGCTATTGGCAGGATTTAAATAAACATTTACAACTTTATTTACAGAGAACAAGAAATACAATTAGTGATAACAGAACATTAGGTATAAAAAGCAGAATGTAACATTTGGTGTAATAAACCAGTGGAACCTGGGGGAAGTCAACAGGGAGGGGGAAACTAGAAAATAGATGTTAAATGATGACATTGAATATTTCTTACGAGAAAAAAAAACCAATAAAAATTATTTTTTGAAAAAATTGAAAAGCTACCAACCAGCTTATTTTGAAGATTCACGAAAACTGTGTAGTGCCTTAGCTACACAGGTGTTGAACTAGACAAGAAGAAAATCAAATTATCTCTTTGCAGTTGGATAATCCTAACTTTTGATGATAGTTAATGCTATAGTTAGTGTATATCCAAAAAAGATTTCCTATTATCTCTTCCAGGATAGAGTATGAAAAGCCAAATAGCTCTTCTGGCGATTCAGATGATGGCTCAACTGTTTCATTGAAGTTAACCCAAAGCATTGCCAACAGTGCCTTTATCATCATCTGCATCTTTGGCTTCCTGGGAAATGGAATGGTCATCCGGCTTCTGGGCTTCCACATTAAGAGGAATCCTTTCACCACCTACATCCTGAACCTCTCCATCGCTGACTTTGGTGTCCTTGCAGCTCTCCTGACTATTATTTTGCCTGTTGTAACTTTCTATGAGAAATCCCATGTTGCTGTTTTGATTAGAAAAGTATTATTTGAACTATTTTTCTTCACTTATTCTGCGGGCCAGTTTCTACTGACCGCCATCAGCATCGACAGGTCTGTGGCTGTCCTCTTCCCACTTTGGCATCGATGCCACCGACCGGCACGTTTATCCACCATTATCTGTGCCCTGATATGGATCCTCTCTTTCCTGCTCTCAGGCATTCACCTTACTCTCCTACTGACTCACAGCTTTCCAAACTCTAACCTAGTGTACCAGCTTATTGTAAATGCCCTCATTTGCACTCCTCTGATGGTCACCTCCACTCTGATACTGGCCCTCAAAGTCTGTTGCAAATCAGAGCAGAATCAACGCGGGAAGCTGCTCACCACCATTTTGCTTGCACTTCTTTTCTTCCTCATCTTTGCTTTCCCACTAAATGCCATTTACACTGCCATCTATTTTAATGAGAACAATATGATTCTAATGGAAGTTGGTTTTGTGTGTGCCTCCCTGAATAGTAGTGTCAACCCGCTGATCTATTTCCTAGTTGGGAGGAGACAGAAAAAGGGCCAGTCCAGGGTCTCCATGAAAGCTGCACTCCAGAGGATTTTCAAGGATGAGGAGGACTGTGTGGAACAGTCAGAGTCCAGAACTGAAAACTCAGTTTTGGAAGAGTCGAAGTCTGGAACTGAAAACTCAGTTACGATGGCTCCCTTGAAGGCTTAAGACAAGAAATGTCAACTTCTGTATTACAGTGGTAACTCTGGTTACGAACTTAATTTGTTCTGGAGGTCCATTCTTAAGCTGAAACCATTCTTATCCTGAGGCGCTCTTTCACTAATGGGGCCTCCAGCTGCATGCACGCCTCCAGCAAGTGCTTCCCGTTCCCATCCTGGGGCAAAGTTTACAACCAGGAGCAGCTACTTGTGGGTTTGCGGAGTTCATAACCTGATGCGTTCGTAACCAGAAGCGTTCGTAACCAGGGGTACCACTGTATCATGATCAACATGATGTATAGACAATAATCTGTTGTCTGAATGTCTTCTTGTAATGTCTTTCTATTGTCGAAAGCAGGAGTTTCACTTTAGGAGTTCTGCATTTTAATGTTTGCTTTGGAAAGAGCACTATTGTGAAGATGGAGCTTGGATGGAAAATATGTGTGAGCATAGATTTCTTGAACCCTATATTGTCCAATGGGTTGGGCTTCTCTCTCCATGAACAACTGTCATAATGTTTTTTGGAGTTACAGCCAACCCAGAAGCAACTTTAGTCCACATTGCTTAAAACTGTGGATCTAGTAGACTCATTTTGAGTGGCATGATTCAAATTGATTAATTTTTTGTTGTATCTATTTCAACAACCCCAAAGTTTGAGAGTCTGTAGCACGAATGTTATAAAGATATGCTGATCTGTTGTGGAACAACCCCACTGAAGAAGATAACAATAGTTACTCGGACCTTATTGCCAGTTGCAAAGGGGGTCCTGTAGCAATTCGAGCTTCAGGGCCCCCAAAATGTAGATCCACCACTGATAGCCACCACCATACCTACAGCCCCTTGCTCATGCTGACTGTGGTGGCAGCTGTGGGGCACATCAGGAACTGATTTCTTCTGATCTCTTCCAGGGAAGAGTTTTTTTTATATGGACATTGAGTTGCCGGCTTCCTTGAAGTTAACCCTAAGCATTGTCAACAGCATCCCTGTCATTATCAGCATATTTGGCTTCCTGGGGAATGGAAGAGTCATCCACCTTCTGGGCTTCCACATTGAGAAGAATCCTTTCACCACCTGCATTCTGAACCTCTCCATAGATGACTTTGGTGTCTTTACAGCTCTCCTCAGTATTATTTTACCTGTTGTAATTCTCTATGGGGAATTCTATTCTGTTTATGTGAATAAAATATTATTATTTGAACTATTTTTCTTCACATATTCTGTTGGCCAGCTTCTACTGACAGCCATCAGCAATGATACGTCTGTGGCTGTTCTCTTCCCACTTTGGCATCAATGCTACAGTCCAACGCATTTATTCACCATTATCTGTTTCCTTCTTTCTGGAATTCACTTTACCCTATCTAAATGCTCCTATTGCTCTATCCCAGCATCTGCCAATCTAGCAGTTCAAAAGCAAATAAATAAATAAAAAGGTACCGCTGCAGCAAAAAGGTAAACGGCATTTCTGTGGGCTCTGGCCCTCGTCACAGTGTTCTGTTGCAGCAGAAAAGGTTTAGTCATGCTGGGCACATGTCCCAGAAAGCTGTCTGTGGACAAACGGTGACTCCCTTATCCTGCAAAGCGAGATGAGTGCTGCACCCCATAGCCACTTTTGACTGGACTTAACTGTCCAGGGGTCCTTTACCTTTACCTCTACATATTGTCCAAAGAATGAGATTTAGACTAGGAGTTCTGAGTTGAATTATTTCCTTTGGAAAGAGGAACCCTTTCCAAAGGAAACAGATTTATGCATGAGCACAAACTTCTCCACCCCTATAAAATCTAAAGGGTTGTCCTAAATCTTCTTTCTCAGTGCCTCCCCCACTATAATGTTGACTGGAGTTCCGGCCCATAGACAGCAGTGGGACATCATGGCATGACATAGCCACCACCATAACTACAGCCCTTTGCTCATGCTGCCTGAGGTGGCAGTCATGGGGCAGGCACAAGCTTGCTCTAGGCTAAACCACTTGCAGCTATATAGTGATCAGGCCCGATCCCAACTAGTGTTGACTATAGTGTGAGTTCAGAATCCACCAGGTCCCTTTGTGTCTCAGCTCATTTCTGTCTCCAGGAAGCCTGGGAAGCCCTCTGGATAATAGTTCTACCCACTATTATATTGCCAGGCACAAAAAGAAGCTCTTTGCCAATGGGGGGGACTATAGGGTCACTCCTTGGGCAGAGGCCAGTGGACCAGAGGCTTGGAATGCACCCCAAGAACCTTAATCTGAATTAAATCACTCAGTAGGAAGAATACAGAAGGCCATCAAAATGCAAGCAGAAATTCCCCAATGGCAGACCTCTTCAACACACATCAGGTCCTAAGGTAGTTTATGGATGAGGCTCTACTCTATTATTATTATTATTATTATTATTATTATTATTACTCTACAATGCCTCTGCATGGAGTCTGCTTCAAACAGCTTTTGTGCAGTGGTAGGTTGAGTGGTACAGCCTCACACAAAGATGCCACTAAAGTTCATGTCTTCTACTAAAGAATCAGATGGCAAAAAAAAAATAATTTGGAGATCCGGGGTGTCTCAATGCATATTAGACCAAAAAATGGAGTGGAAAGGAAGCAAACATTGGTGAAAGACACTGTAGCTTATGAAAGACCTTTGATGTTTTATTGTATTTTTAATATTCTGTTGGGAGCCACCCAGAGTGGCTGGGGAAACCCAGCAAGATGGGTGGGGTATAAATAAATTATTATTATTATTATTATTATTATTATTATTATTAAAGCCTGAATGTCTTTCTTGGACACACAAATATCACTTTTCCTGCTTTAAGCATCTCCCTCTTTCACTTTTAAAAAAATCATCCTGATCAGTTTGTTCTAAGACACTCTTTTTGGGCCTAGATACTTGGGTTTTGGGTTAGAATCATAGAATCACAGAATCATAGAGTTGGAAGAGACCACAAGGGCCATCGAGTCCAACCCCCTGCCAAGCAGGAAACACCATCAGAGCACTCCTGACATATGATGCATGGTTTTCCCTCAGATGTTTTGATATTTCCCAAAATCCATTTTATTTTTATTTTCTGTTTATTTCTGTGTAAGACTCCAACTTCACTACAATTTTAGACACCTTCATCTTTTTTTTAACCTGAATTCATTTTCCATTTGGAGCCCTCTGAGCCTCATGCATTCCGTACACTTTTCCAAACTCTCTCCCTGAGTCCACAGGATCCTGTTCAGCAGATCCCTCCTTGATCCTTAGGTTGAACTGCTATGTACTTTGGAATTAAGTAAGCTTTGAACTAATTAGATTGGAAGATGCAGTTTAGAACACAGGATTTGTGTTATTGATAGCTGCTTGGTCGCTACTTAAAAAACAACCACCACCTATCAATTATTTCTTTTAGTTATAGCACAATCCCACCCCCACCCCCCATTTTGGGGGATTTGCACCAACTGATGCTGAACAGGGTTTGGATCTATTGTAATTTGACATCAGCTTAAATTACACCGATTTTCTTCAGGCCATCTTGTGCATAGGTTTGCTTCATTAGTCAATAAGCAGCACTACTGCTGCTCCTGCTGCTGCTCCTCCTCCTCCATAAACCCTGATCAGATTGGAAACCATAGGAAGGATACTGAGAAAGCAAATGGCACATGAGTGACAAGGATACTACTACTACTACTAATAATAATAATTTATTATTTCTACCCCACCACTCTGGGTGGCTCCCAACAGAATATTAAAAACACAATAAAACATCAAACATGAAAAACTTCACTAAACAGGGTTGCCTTCAGATGTCTTCTAAAAGTCAGATAGTTGTTTATTTCCTTGACATCTGATGGGAGGGCGTTCCACAGGGCGGGCACCACTTCCGAGAAGGCCCTCTGCCTGGTTCCCTGTAACCTCACTTCTCGCAGGGAGGGAACCAGCAGAAGGCCCTCAGAGCTGGACCTCAGTGTACGGGCTGAACGATGGACGTGGAGATGTTCCTTCAGGTATGCTGGGCAGAGGATGATGAGTGGAGAAGATGCCAGGCCTAGGGAGCTGATATGAGTTTTCATTTCATTTCACTTTTAATTTGTATACCACTTTTCTATATTGCTATACACAGGAAAGTTTACAAGCTGAAGAAACAACAAAATAGACAGCAAATCTATAACACACCTAATAATAATCTGATCCAATATAGAAAGTCATAATAAAAACATAACTTTAAAATAGACAACCTACACCAAATATAGCAATATTCAATAATCCATTTGAATATAATAGTAAACTTCAAAATTAAATATCAGCAAATAATAATTAAACAGTTTACACTACTACCAAGAAGGCCCTCTGCCTAGTTCCCTGTAGCTTCACTTCTTGCAGTGAGGGAACAGCCTGGAATTGTTGTCATTTATTAATTTATATGCCACCCAATGCCCAGATTAGTTTTGCATTTAAAAAGCAAAATAAGAAGCCCATAGAACGCATTATCCAACTAAATGGAATAAAGTAAAAATAGATGTATATGCCCCTTAATTCCCGTATTAGCTTCTAAGCAAATTGTAAGTGTAAAATCCAATGAGGCAAACCTTTTTTAAAATCAACATCCGTAATTAAAATATGCATTGAGTTCTGCAGAAAAACTGGATCTGTGGAAGCTTTTCCAGAAGCGAATATTGCATTTTGTTATCGCTTATGTCATCCCCACAGCATAGCTTACAAGTGGGGATTTAAGAAGTCATCATCATTGAATCTGTCATGGCTGGAGGATTCTGATCCTCTGTGCAATCAGCTTTGTCACTAAATACTCTTTCCAGCACTACCTTCAAGGGTTCTGTGGGTCGATGTTTCTTTCCCCTTCCAATTAGGAAGTAAAGGAATGGATTAACACTGCTTTTGATAATAGCACATGTCATACATATTAGTGGTTCCCATAACATGCTTTGAATGTCAATCAGTTGAAAAGCTAGAAGGGTCATCAGCGCACTGAATGGTACACCGAAAATAAAGAAGAAAAGAAGAGCAAGGAAGAGGGCTGTGTAGAACTTTCCTCGTG